ACATATTATTAACTCTCTATAACAATATCAACCTATTGTTAACATTTCTGGCTCAATAGTATCGATACCTCCACCATGGTATCTATACTATTATTTTATGGTATCGATACTCTATTACGGTACCGATACCATTTTTTCATTTTGTGCTCAATGGTGTCGATATCATCCTCATGGTATCGATACTCCCCTCTTGGTATCGATACCACTTGAATCGGTATCGATGCTACTCACATATTATACTGATTTTAAGCCTATAGTATCGGTATTGTTCTATCAGTACCGATACCCGTGCCTAGAATTTCCAGTTTTCAACCCGATTATCACCCAAATGGGGTAAAATTTCATTATTATTACACCATACAATATTATAAAACTCTTCTTTGTATATTCACTTTCCTTCATTCAGTTTCTTAAAACATCTAAAATCTTCCAAGAACATTCAATTCTAAGAATCATACTACTTTTTCTAATATGTTCTTAATCATATCCAATGCTTGCAATCTCTCATTTAACTCTTTGACAAGTCAAATCCACCAATAAACATCCATAAACACTCATATATTAGCATATCATTTCAAAACCAATTTTCTTAAATCTCTAATATTTCATCCATATCTATGTTTTAATCCTATTTAACCCTCCCTTTAGCTTACATATCACTTAAGGTTGTAAAAATAACCCATAATCAAAAGGAAAACTGATTAATTGAAGTTTACCTTCGGCTATGGAGGGTGTCCTTGCACGGGACCACCTGAATCGGTATCGATACTACTCAACATATTATACTGATTTTAAGCCTATAGTATCGGTATTGTTCTATCAGTATCGATACCTGTGCCCAGAATTTCCAGTTTTCAAACCGATTATCACCCAAATGGGGTCAAATTTCGTTATGATTACACCATACAATACTATTAAACTCTTCTTTGCCTATTCATACTAACTTTCCTTTATTTAGTTTCTTAAAACATCTAAAATCTTCCAAGAACATTCAATTCTAAGAATCACACTACTTTTTCTAATATTTTCTTAGTCCTATCCAATGCTTCCAATCTTTCATTTGCCTCTTTGACAAGTCAAATCTACCAGTAAACATCCATAAATACTCATATATTAACATATCATTTCAAAATCCATTTTCTTAAATCTTTAATATTTCATCCATATCGTTTTTTTAATCCTATTTAACCCTCCCTTTAGCTTACATATCACTTAAGGTTGTAAAAACAACCCATAATCGAAAGGAAAAAATGATTAATTGAAGTTTACCTTTGTCTATGGAGGGTGGTCCTTGCATGAGAAGAAGAAGAGAAGAGATAACTCTCCTTGTTTCCACTTTCCCCTTTTCTTTCTAAAATCCCTAATAAGGATAAATTTTTAAATTCGTTTCTCCTTAGAAGACTGAAATACCCTTTATATTCATCTATTGCTACAATTTAATCCAAAACACTATTTCAAATCATTTTCTTATCTTTTACCATTTATTCAAATAAGTCTTTTAAATTTCAAATCTTTTCAATATAGTCCCTAACCTGATATTTGGGATATTACAACCCTCTTTCTAAATTGATCTCCAAACTTTTGAATATTCCAATTTTATCCCCAAATTCATCCAAATATATAATTAGTTTCAACCATAGTTTAACCTAATAATATAACTTGGCCTAATGATTTTATTAATAAGGGATGTGATTAGTATATACATATAGTTTGGGATGAAATTGGAATGTTTAAAAAATTTTGGGGACTAATTTAGAATGCATGTCATAGTTTGGGGATGAAAATGAAATATTCAAAAGTTTGAGGACTAATTTGGAATGATACTCATAGTTTAGGGATGAAATTAAAATGTTTAAAAATTTTGGGATAAATTTAAAATGAGAGTCATTCTTTGAGGACATATGATACAATTAACTCTATAAATAAAAATAAATAAAATTTAACCCAATATATAAAAGTTTTCTATAACTAACTAAATTCGACCTTAGTTTCTAAACAAAGAATTAATTTTAAAAAATCACTTTTAGAAATCTAAAGAGAAAAGTGCAAAAAATTGCTTTTCCGTCCTTTTTACTCTTATGTTTTGCTCTTTTCATAAACAAAAGTAGATGGTTTGATAGTTAGATGTATAGGTTTTTCTAGATTGTTTATAATTATAACATCCTTCAAATATTGTTTACGAAAAAATACCTATTTTTATCACTTGAGCAAAGTTATGCTCTATCAATTATGCTATCTCAAAAAAAATACATTTGACAGAAAGTAAATTTGTTCACTGTGACAACCTAATCAATATATGTCTTGATTCACGTAAAATGTGCGACCAACCAAATACCCAATTATAAATTATAAATTTATAGATAAACTATACAATGGTCATTAATATTTGAGTACATTTTCATTTTTTCCACTAGAATTTCAAAAGTAACAAATCGATCGTTAATATTATTGATTTGTAACAAATCGGTCGCTTTCCGTTTACAACTGTTAATATGGGTGATAGAAAATTGATGTGGGGGCGTTAACTACTGATTTGGCATGTTGACCGTTTAACCTGTAATTTGATTCCCCTCTAACCCCATTTTCATCTCTTTCCTTCTTACTGTGAACAACATATCACAATGGCAAACTCTTCCATTAAGGGATCTATTAGTACCATTGGCATTTTTAGAGGCTTGATTATAGTATTTCAGCAATGCAGTCTTTGATAATGAAACCTTCTCCCACATTAACTATCACTCAAACGTTATTTTTCCACTTTCTAGCTATCTCTTTTCTAGAATGCTTATCAAACGTAGAACGAGTCAACTTGTCTTCATTGCAACCAGTAGTGCATTCACATGTGATTTCAAGGGTACCATATCTATGACTGGTCCTTTTTCAAGCCACTATCAACTCCTCTTCGTTAAAGATCATCGACCCACCCTCTCTTTCTACTTCATTCTCCATTCTCTCTCTCTCTCTCTCTCTAACAAGATCTCTTCCCCCTCCCCCAGACGATATCAAACAAACCAACACAAACATACACATGCTCAAACACTTTTCTCCTTATTATGTTTCCCGAAAAGAAAGTGAACCCAGAAACCCCAAAAAAGAGAGAAATCAAATATGGGTAGTGTTGAAAGGAGATTTTATAACAGGTATTGGTTTACGGTACTTACTAATACAGCAGCAGCAGGAGCCAACACCGTTGATGATGTCATAATTCTTCTCGTTCACTCCAGGTGTAGCCCAGGAGTCAGACTCACATTTTTGACGAGTTACCTAAAGTAATCATCATTTCCGTCTCTAGACCCGACGTCGATGATACCAACCCCATGCTTTTGTCTTATACCATCAAATTTCGATAAAAACATGCAAGTTTTCCTTTTTGATCAGATTCCTTATTTCTCAAATTTGTTTGAAATTTTAAAATTCGAATGATAACTTTTTTCTACTCTTGGTTGTTTCAGTTTAAGTGCGGTTATTGAAGAAGGCTTTGCGCATTTTTTACTTGCACTTTGCTTTGAAGAAGTGATTGTTTATCGAAGAAATTCACGAGAAGCAAGAACATGTTTGTGTAGATATAACGACAATGTTTATATTAAAGGTTAAAGAATGGCTTCAAAATCTAGCAATAAGAGACCATATACACATGGACGGATCTCCCTTAGCGCTCAAGGGCCCCGACCATGTTAAAAATTATATATTTAATATAATTTTGGTTTAATAGTAACTAAAGAATGATAAGTATGTTTTCTCAAATTTTTGGTCTAACTACATTTTAAGTCATTGTAAGTTTAAATATTAGACAAATTACAAGTTACCTTTTGTGTTATGAGGTTTTTTTTTAAAATTTAGGGCGAATACAAGGTAATAACTGCGCAAAGACTTTCGACTATTTGACAATGAACGCTCATACCCCTTCATACATGCTTGAACTCGGGACCTCAAGGATAACAACAATCACTTAATAACTAACTGTTGAGTTAATCGATTGACTGAATCGGCCAAGAGGGGGTGAATTGCAATAAAAATTTTGGTGGAAGCTTTTGCAGAAAATTGAAAGAAATTACACAGCGATTTAAAGTGGTTCGACTTTATCAACCAAAGTCTACGTCCACTACCTTAGCTATCCACACTAAGGATTTTCTAACAAATTCACTAATTTGTTCTTTCTTTTGAGGCCAAAGAGATAACCTTACAACTCCCTCAAGAATATACCCCAATTCTTGAGAACACTCTTTTCTCAAAGAGAAATACAAATTCGCAAACTTACAAGAAAAAACCTCACAAGGCAAATATGTTTGCACAATTCTAGAACAAAGAAAGCACACTCAAGAATAAATACAATTGAGCACAATAAGTGTTCTTGAAAGCAAAATGAATATTGAATAAAAAATAGGCTTGAAATGCTCAAACTTGAGGTTTGATGCTTTCTCTTTGATTCTCTCTTGATTCTAATTGCTTGATGTTTCTTGTTATTGATCAATGGCTTCTAAGCTTGCTTAAATACACCTTGAATCACTTCTGAACGTTGGGGATGATTAGAGAAAATAATATAGCCCACTACAGCAAAACAGAGATTTAGCAGCATTTTTTAGTTCTATAGCGGCGTTTTTAAGCACCGCTAAAAGCAATTACGGCGATAAGAAAAACGCCGCAAGAAGCGCCGGCAATACCAGCGTCGCTAAAGTTCGTGGCGTTTGAGAACAAAAAACGCCGCAATAGGTCAAGATCTATAGCGGCGTTTTTGGAACAAACGCCGCAAAATGTGTCATATATAGCGGCGTTTTTTGAACAAACGCCGTAAAATGTGAGATCTATAGTGGCATTTTTTGGAGAAAACGCCGCAAAATGTCAGATTTATAGCGGCGTTTTTGGAACAAATGCCGCTAATACCTTTATTTAGCTAAGATTAATTGATTTTGCATATTTCATTTCTACTCTACATCACCTATAGCATGTAGCTTTATCTAATTAACAACACAAGTTATGCAGAAAAATACTTAACAACAAAATAGATTAAAATTTATAAACATTAAAATTAAATGTAATGTAATTTGACATTGTTCTCTATAATTTAGTCTAGGTGATACATACATCAAAAATTAATCCCCAGAAATTCCATCCACCACAAAATCTTGAAAACAAAAGTAGGAATGTAAAAATGAGTTCCATATCGTCTGGATTCATACTTGTGGCACTTCAGTCTTGGATCTCCTCATTTTACTATCTTATCTACCGAACCTAATTGATGGACTAGAATTCAACTGAAGTAGAGTTAATTATCCAGTCTATTCAATCTTCACTTACTTGAGGAGCATTTTGCACAGGCTACAAAGTGAAATAAAGGACCAACAAAGAAAAATAAGCAATGAAAAATAATCACAATCAACAAACCAACTCAAGAAAGATATGAACATCGAGTTTAAACATAGCTTACTGCAGGTGTTGTAAATGACAATTGAGATGACATTTTTCTACTAGGTGCACTCAGCAAAGCTTGTTGTCTCAAAACCTTATCCTCGATTTCCATGTCTGAAATCTTGTCTTCTAACCAATTAAAAGATATAGATGATTATTTGCATGGAAGATAAGCAGTTCAAGTTGAAGAATGAACAATCCAATTGACTTAACATAGCTTACTGCATGCGTTGCTTAATCACTTCACATGGAACATATACAAAAGAACCAAGTGTATCACCTGAAAATCAGAGAAATACAAGATAGAAATCAGAGATCATTTGTGCATTTCAAGCAATATCAGATCATAAAGAGAAGATGAAAAGTGGGGATAACAAAGTAAATTTTTGCAAAGGTGAAGCTACTAATATTGATAATGCGAATCAAAGTTTTCAGCAGGATGCTCCACTAGGGTTCTCCTTTCCTCTAAATACATCTTTGGTTTCACCTGCTGCTCCAACTGTGGGAATTAGCCTCTGCTCATGCTTCATGAAAGACCCAAATATAAGTGCTAATTTAGACAGCATAAACCACAGGCCAACAAACATCAATGATATGGTAATGATATGATGAATTTAACGGAATACATACGAAAAGCAACAATAGATATCAAATTTAAATTTATTAGGTAGAAACACCAACCTAAAAGAGAAAAGGAGAAAATTTTAGAGTAAAAGTTATAGAACTCCTAGTCATTGTTGAAATGCATCAACCGATAGTAGAACAAAGGAAAAAGAAAACTAGTTAAAAGAATTAGCTAGAGGAGGGACAAAAAATAACCTCTGGAAATGTCAGTGCTTATCTTCTGTGCTGGGAAGAAAGATGAAGTAGAAGCAGCAGGTTTTACAACACTTTTGTAGTTTTGTTCTGTAATATCTTGCCAGCAAGCCAGAATGACCTTGAACCTTTTAGAAGCATCTGCATAAATGAAGGGGAAGAGAGAGAAAACAAATATTAGATTTTAGTGCTCAATCTAAGGGCTTGCACATGTAGTAAACTAGAAAATGCAATAACTTTGACACGATAATTTCCTCAAACTAATACCATATTAAAAGGAAACAAATATACAAATGCATATACACATTGACAACGGTGTTATCCCACATCCATCGAGTTTTCTGTGATCTTATATTAAACTTCTGTCAGTTTCTGTGATAATACAAAATTGTGAACTGCACCTGTGTAATCAGAAGCATACATGATTGATTCCTCACCTCTTGTTTCATGAAAATTCTGTTCAGACAAAGCAGTAAGAGACTAATAATACAACAGAAAATAGTGAAAAACATTGGGACAGAAAAAGAATGTTTACCACCTTGTTCGAACAAGAAAGTTCTTTGCGGAAGTAATAATCAAGCACGCACCATATGGCTTTTCCATTGACCAGTGAAGACAAGCTTTCAATCATAAGACCATAATTTTCACCAATTGCCTACAAATATTCGTTCAACTTATTAACTTCAGTAGTTGGCCAACAAAAAATTAACTTCAGTGAGATCATGTAGATGCAAATTTAAAAGTGAACACGCAGGAAATGAAAATCCCTGAACACAACCATTGATTAACAAATATATCAGAAAAATTGAGGAATTGATAACATTCAAGTTATCCTGTAATAATTAAAAAAAACGAAATTGAATTTATGAACATCAGGAAGTCTTAATAAAAATAGAAAGGGACATAAAAAAAACTTAGCTAAATTTTCTAGTATTTAAGCATATAGCTTGTTAATTTTGAAATGAATAGAAAAATTAAATAGTTATCCACCCTTCACCAGCTCCATTTTTCACCAGAATTCAAGTAACATTTTAAGCATACCATATTAAAGATACGTATGTTGGATATTTCCCCACCAATGGTTGTTTTGACAATCAGAAGTGGCAACTGCAAGATCAATGAAAACATAAGTGGCAGCTAAAGGATTAACGATTGCAAACAATCTTTAGAAACAATTAACATCTGAAAGTTCAGATAAAGAGAAGTTTAGCAGACTTGTAAACGAACAAATATATTCCAGAGCAAGGATACAGTACGTTCCTTATATTTTTCAGCAATATCATCTCTAGTAATCTTCAATCCATCTCCATCACATAGCATGACACCAGCTTCTCTCAATGCATACCCATGCAAAACTCAAAATCATGTTCCAGTGCACTGAATCTCCCTCCAATGAGTCCTGAAGCTTCAGTGTCCCTTTGAAGACAATTGATCTCGACTTCTCTGTCAATAGCCCTATATAGCGTATAAAAATATCTAGAAAGAAAGCTTAGACAATCCTCCCTGGAACATTACAACGCAGAACACTGCCTGCGATCACAAAATGGTTTATATTAAACCAAGCAAACATAAAAAAAAATCCACATGAAAAATGAAAATGAAAAATGAAAAATGAAGATGATTAATTACATTGCAGTTTTACATAAAAATAAAAGCACAAACTAAACCTACATTGTCAAATACAATAATCTATAATGCACGCAAAATAGAAAAAGAGTTGAATCCCGAGCTTAGTTAAAGAAGGAGGAGAAGGAAATAAGTTCCAACCAACAAAGATTGAAACTTTAGGTTCTAGGGTTATATATATATATATGCGCCCACACATAATTTGCTCATAGACAATGAATCTAAAAGAGTTCGACAATCTGCTAAAATGTTCAAATGAAAAAGCAAAAACAAGAGAAAAATGCAGTACACACAAATATATATGATTTGCTTACAGAAAGAGTGAATCTAGAAGAGTTTGGCGATCATATTTAAGAAGGTGATAATTTACTTCGACAACAAAGGAGAAAAACAAGAAACAGAGGCAATAAAGGGGAGGGAGTGAGAAATGACACACCTTTGTGGATCAAGGAGAGGCCAAAGCGTCCAAAGCAAAGAGCAGATCTCCAGCAAAAGAATAGTAAATTTTTTAGGAAAGCGAAAACAAAAACGTCTTCAAGTCAATGGAATTTTTAGAATTTGTAGCGTCGATGGCGATAATTTTCCTACATATTCAGAGAAAGAATATTCTTGTTTATTTTAGGTGAGTGGATATTCTATTACGAGATGATAAAGAAGAGGGAAATGGGCAAGAAAATGGTGGGAAATGAGCAAGCTTTACCTTGGAGGGAGGGGTTTGAAATTTTCGAAAATCTGAGCTACTTCTGCTTTTTTTGGAGCATATTTGAAGGTGGCAGTCGTTCCTTCCATTCAAAAACCCTAAAATGGAAGAGACAAAGAGAAAGCTTTTGTAGTGTGTGAGTTCTTAAATCCCATGTTGGGGGGTTTCTATTGGCTATGCATATATAGCGACGTTTGCTGAAAAACACCACTATAGATTAACCCTATTGTGGCGTTTGTATAAAAACGCCGCTAAAGTACTACTCTGTTGCGGCGTTTTTTGAAAAAACGCTACTATATATGAACCCTATTGCGGAGTTTGTATAAAAACGCTGCTAAAGTACTACTCTTTTACGACGTTTATTGAAAAAATGCCATTATAGATGAACCCTATTGCAACATTTGTATACAAACGCTGCTAAATACTATTTTTTCACGGTGTTTTTTGAGAAACTCCACCATGGATGAACCTATTGCGGAGTTTGTATAAAAAAGCCGCTAAAGTACTGCTCTGTTGCGGCGTTTGTTGAAAAAAGCCACTATAGATGAACCAAAATGCCGCTAAAGTACTACTCAGTTGTGGCGTTTTCTATAAAAACGCCGCTAAAGTTACCATTTTATGGCGTTTGAATTATAAATGCCGCTATATGTTAAATGTTAGTGGCGTTTACTCTCAAAACGCCGCTAAAAATGCCGCTGTAGAACAGTTTTGCTGTAGTGGCCGTTTTAGTGTGAAAACAATTAATAAAACAGTTTGGAGCGTGGGGGGAATCGGTACCCCCTATGGGGAATCGGTTCCCTAAGTGTAAAATTCAAATATTTCAACCGTTATACAAGGGGGGAATCGGTACCCCCTGGGGGGGAATCGGTTCCCTCCGAGCATACTGGAATTCTCGGAGCCAAACCATTCAGGGGGGAATCGGTTCCCTCTGAGCAATCTGGAATTTTTGGCTTTGAAATGGTTCAAAAATACTTTGTAAAATTATTTTGAAATTGTTTTAAAATTAAAACTTAATTTTACACTTTGAGTAAGGATTAAAATGATCTTTGAAAGATTTGGAGTAATGTTTTGATATTCGAATAATTCTATCGAATATACTTAGAAAATCATTTGGAAAATCTTAAAATTCATTTAACTTAATTTGTTATATCGAAATATCAAAATGTTTTCAACACTAAGGTCACTTGGTTCATGTTGAATTTCGAGTTTAAATACCTAATAAGTCTTTATCATTTTCTTAAATAGTCTAATATTACAGCCCCTGTCAATATTTAACTTTGGCTTCGTCCCTGCAGATACATACGCTGGTTCTGCACGAAGATGACGAACTGGTAAAAATGCTAATTTATTACATTGTGATTGGTTTAGGATCTCTTTTCTTTCTTTTCTCCATCCTCACCTTTCTTTCTTCCATTCCTTTTTTTTTTTTTGCAGCAAAAACAAAGAAGAATCATCATTTAATACTTCATATTGATTAATAATGAAAAGAGAAATGAGAGAATACGGAACAGTAAGAACGAAAGAGAGCATATTGGGTTAGAGGGGAGTCAAATGATAGGTCAAATGATCAATGTTCTAGGTTAGCAGTTAACATGACATGTCAGCTTTCTGTCACCTATAGTTGTTAATGACGAGTGACCGATTTGTTACAAATCGATAATGTTAGTGATCGATTTGTTACTTTAGAATCTTATTCAAACATCAATGACGATTTGTTTAGTTTTTCCTAATTTAAACATGTAAAATTTTAGAAAGCGCGAGAGACGAAACATACTTTCTCGTTGCATTCCCGACACCCTTATAAATCTTGCACCCTTTTTTCTTCTTCCATTAAGTAAACAAATAAACACATTACAATAAAAATTTCTAAATATATTTTTTGATGGTTTTATATGTTTTATTTTTGATAAGTTTCGATATTTTTTTAATTTAATATTTACTTATTTATTTAGTTTATTATTTTAGTTATTATTTTAAGTATATATTTATTATACTTTAGGGCGTAGGTATTTTAATTAATATTTAATTTTCAGTAAATATTTTTATTTCTTGTAGTTATTATATTTATTGTAGTATAGATAATTTTTTATATTTTAGTATAGTTATTGAACTTTTCTTGTAGTTATTATATTATACATTTTATATATAAATTTAATTTTCTTTTAAGATTAATGACGATATTTATAAAATAAATTTTATTAATATTCCAAGTTAAAATATTTTACAGTTAAAAAAGAAAATATTTAGATTAGATGTGAAACATATTTCTAGCTACTAACTAAATACGGTACAGAAGCTAATTTTGTTATCAATTATATTTTATTAATTGATATATTTATTTTAAATTAATAGGCCGGTGATTGTATTATGGATTCACTTATTCACAACGCAAAGAGACATTTCCATAGTTATTATTGAGAACTTATAGTAAGCCATATTTTTTTGTCTCAAGTGCTCTGAGGTTGTTAACTGCAACCAGTACTTAATTTTTACACTAAGATAACTGGAGACCAAACACACATATTTTCCATAGTTATTATAGTAGATTGTTTAGATGCCCAATATAAATCAAGAATTGAAGACTTCCATCACAGAAGATGCGTGGTCCATTAGAATAACCCACAAGCATTTGCTTATAGAATGGTGGAAGGAGGAAGAGGTAGCAATACATTCCGTCTGATGCTTGATCACTGCATTCATGATATATCAAATCAGCTCTTCGATCTATGATGGCATCTAGTGCTTCTTCTTATATATTAAGAAATTATTGAGGGACATTTGAGTGATCACATGTTATTACATTTTGGGTTCGTACAATGATTTTGGACTAACTACTAACACGAACTTGTATAGATTTAACAGATCAGAAAAGACAAAAGTTGATAGGAGGAAAAGGCACATGAACTGGTTAGCGATGTGGGACGAACGATATAGTCGTATACATGATCATTAATTTATTTTAAGTCATGATATGACGGTTTCAAGTGATTACATATCATGAATCATGCATTACAGGAAATCATATCTATTATTTGATGTGCAACAAGTTAGATATATTCATCAACATATGGAAAAATATACATCGATACAGAAACATCGTCCCCCAACTAATCGAGGAAAAGCAAACCCTTTCGACTCGTCATCATCAGCACCATCCAAACCATAACAACAGAAACAATCAATGACACTAACATTTAGTCAATACAGATAAAGTATTCATTACACATGGTTTTACTTATTTGAATTTCGACACAAGATTATTATACACAATACTATCGGAGCTGATATTTTCTTTACACACATCATTGTTAACAAGTAATGCTCCTCTACTAGTACCACCACTCTCAATCCAACTAACAATGCCATATTCATAGATGACACGTTATAGATTTTCATAGTTTGCAGTCATCAATTAGATTTTTTTTAGACGTATGTGCATTCATTATTATCCACATTCAATCAATCATCATACAAATGAGGCGCACTGATTATTCAAGTCATTTGATTAACACAAATTGATGCCAACAATGTAAGAGATACTATCAACAATATTAAAAACAATGATGATGACAATCATTTTGAAGAATAATTAATATGGGGAAATCTTGAACGTAATCAATTTCTACTATATTAGGAACCTTATTGACGTAGAAGTGATAAATGATGCATTTTTTTCATGGTAATGTAAAACCCCAAATTTTTGGGTCAACACAATTGAGTTGACCTAAGAGATCTAAGAACCCATGTGATTGAGTAATTAGAATTGTTGGGCCAAACTAACAATAAATGGGACATTTTTAAATTGGAAGCTAATAAGGGAGGACCTAACGTGTAATTAGACCGTTGAATGTTTCAAAACTAGATTTTCATTAGTTTAGGTGATGTCATCTAGGAAAAAGAAAAGGGGAAATGCTAAAAATATGTATCCCTTGCCTTTTGTGTTCATTTCCTACCTCAATTCTCCAATTTTCTCCCTTCTCCAACTTATCCTTGTAACATCAAAGGTATCACCTTTATTGTGTTGAGAATTCATTAAAAAATTTGGAAGGTAAGGGTTGAAACATCCTCTTCTTGAGTTTGATAGATAGCTCCAAATCTTCCATGTTTTTGGGAGAGACGGGTTTTAGGGAGGCTTTAACCTCAATAGCTAGATCAATTAATTTAAGCTTTTTTTTTTGTATCCTATATGCATTATTATGATCCTACTATGTTGATATCTTTGTTAGTAATTCAGTTTGTACTTATTTGATTAGTACAAGAGGTTGGAGAGCAATCTAGTCCCAAAGGGGAGAAGAAACTTGGTGGAAGTTTATCAAGCATTAAGATAGTACACAACGGATTTTCAAGTTCTACATGTGTTTCCTATATGTGATATTTTGTTGGTTGTTTGAGCATGTCAAGTGTTTCAAATGTATCTGGATGCTTTGGATTCAGTTTGTGTCATTTGTGTGTTAAAATGTGTTATAAATATGCTAAATGATTTTAAATAACACTTATAAGCTTTAAAAAAATAAGTAGGACTCAAACTAGAGGGGATTTAGAGTGATTTTCGAGTTTGAAAATAACCATTTTTGGGCTTTGGTATCAATACTCAAAGAACATCACTAATACCCTTTGAATGTGTGAATAAATTTACGTAGAATGGCTTAGGGTATTGATATTTTTCATGTAAGTATCGATACCAAGGGTATTTATTCAAACTTCGAAGTTAAAAATAATATTGGTACTTAAGATGAGTATTGATACCCATGGAGTGAGTATCAATACTCATATGGGGGTATCGATACCCATGAGATTTATTGGAACATCAAGCTTAAATTTGGTATCGATACTCGAGATGAGTATCGATACCCAAGGGTTGAGTATTGTTGCCCTCTA